GCTGGAACGGCTGTAAGACGACATGCGTCTCGCAAAAGTCACCTGCCGAGACCCGCAGATCGTACGAAGTGGAAAAATCGGTGCAAACAAGCAGACCCCAAATAAGTGGGTAAATGCGAAGAAGAAGAAAAGTTTCAGAAGGAAACAGATAATCTGTTTTTGGTTAAAGTGTCAATTAAAATGAATTAATTTGAGGCAAAGAGCACTTTCAGAGTTTGCAGCTGAAGAAAAACAGCCATAAGGAAGCTAATTATAATAATATTCACTCTTGCAAGACAGTCCTCTTTCTTGTCTGAAAGTCATGTCGGTGACCAAGCTGTCAGTCAAACTGTCTTCGTTAGGCTCTTTTACAGGGACTGTGAACTCTTGCACAGTTGATTCTGAAAGTCAAAGGCTGGTTTGTTGCAGGTGATGCTGATTGTTGTAAGGGGTTCATGAGAAGAAAAGGCTGGTTTATCTTTATAGAACCACAAGAGAAGTGGCCAGCAGAGACGCCTGTTGCCTTAACAGAATAACCTGGTCATTTCAAGCTCTAAGTGGCTAGTTCCTCTGCTGGCTTAACAAATGACTTGATAACCTGATGTGTGAGAGGTTAGCTTTTTAAGTGTCTTGAGTTATTCTCTTGACTGGTGGCAGTGTGCTAACCCGAAGGACTGATTTCACTCTCCAGCGTACCTTTAGGGTTTTTCTTCAGTCTGAACCTATATTGAACTGGGTACCATGTTTGGTAAGTGTATCATGCCATCTTACTGATCAAGGTTGGGCTCATGATCTGGGTGACCAATTTTCTGTGATGCATTGAGAAGATCTGGTCTTGATGGGAACAGTAGTTTGTGAGCACTCTTGATTTGGATTTGTCTTTCAAAAAGAGCAATAAGGGCATCTTATTATACAACAGGAGAGGACAACACTTGTTTATCTATCCTAGTTCCCTCTCACTTGTGTAAATACCAGAAAAATACTGCTTACTAATCTAATAATGAAGAGAACAAAGGAGAAATACATACTTGTTTCAAACCCATGTTATGATGCTTCCTCAAACTATTAAAGATTTTAATGTAGATATCAGCGTTTATGTACTAAATCACAGTAATAAAGAAAGACAAGGACAACTGTAGTAAAGTTCCACCTGACTGAGGAAGGGCTTGGAGTGGTGCTGTTGGTCTTGATCAAGGGTTCCCAATTTCAGATCTCTGAGTTCAGAATCCAGCCAATTTTGTTTTTCCTCTTTAAATTGTCTGCAGCTAAAGGCTATGGAATGTGAATATAATGGTGTAGTTAGTCTTTGTTCAGTTTAACACCTCCCCAGGTGAAAGAGTGTTTGTAACTAATGGAGACATGACATAAGCCTGCTGGACTCCAGACTCCAAGGACCAGAGACCTCTTGTCTTCATCAGCATTTGACTCCGAAGGGTCACTACACTCTGAAGTGTGCTGGTGATCCCCAGCTTCCTGGTTACTTTATTTATTAACTTCATTGTCAGGCCTGCATAGCTGTCTGTGCTATTTTATCTTGTTTTGTGCTGTGAACAGCAGATAGTGGTCTATGATAAACTCAGCTGCTGCATCAAACATACAGTATCAAGGTATGACACTGGGCTTATTTCTATCATATTGGCCCTGCAGGGAATCGTTTTCCCTTTCTTTACCTCTAGAGAATTTATGTACTTTGGAATAAGCTAAATATTGTACATTCTGTGGTATGCCACTGCCTTTCAAGGAAGAGAAAAACAACTTATTATAAAAACAAACTAGCTGACCCTATGATATTATATAAAATAACAGAAACTTTCATCCAAATTGTGCATGCATGCTTAGTTGGGGCAGTCCAAAGGCAACAGCACCTTGAAAATATTAATCCTGTTTGATTTTCTTCTCTTCTGTTTTTGTGCACAGTGGGTGCTCATGTGAAAACTGCCGGGTGTAATTTACAATGAGGTGCAATGCCTAGTTTTCCCTTCTATAAAACCCATTTGAACACATGTTGCTCCATTGTGTGTGAATATAATACAGCCTGCCCAGCACAAGAATTCTTCATTTGCATGACTAAACACAAAAGGCGTTGGTCAACATTTCTGTATCAAAAGCAAATCCTTCAGTGTGCTTGACGACACCCTTGGAATCCAGTTTTGCTCAGTCGTCTGGAACTGATTCCAGTTCACCTGCCCCCAGCTTGAATTTTCAGGTCAGCCCCCAGGAGAAGGTTACTCTACCTTTGCTTGTGAGCTGAGCGCTTAACTGAAGGCCCTTTCAGACTACTCCATTGCAGTACTGTGATACAATCTGCATCTTAATTGTTATGTTGGTTTATTGTTGATTGTAGTTCAGGTAGGTAGCTGCATTAGTATGCGTAGGCTGCAAAGGAACAAGTAAAGGTTTATTCCATGCTGAGAAGAGAAGAAAAGAAACACAATGTTTCGACTCTGGAGCCTTCTTCGGGTGTGGTTCTGCTGTGACCCACTAGCCTTTCCCTAAATCTTATTCTAGATCTCTTCCTCATTCCTTCTCCTCCCTGGACTACTTGCCCCTTCTCTCACTAAATCAGCGTTCCCCACACCCAAAGAAGGCTCCACAGCCAAAACGTTGTTTCTTTTCTTCTCTGTTCAGCTTGGAATAAACCTTTACTTGTTCCTGATTGTTAATTGGTTTATCAGGTAAACAATGAAGGAGCTCGTTAGAGTAACATTCTGTAATGGAGAGCCTTCTAGCTGATTGGCTGTGCTCTATTGGAGTATCTTTGTTTAGTGTCCATGTGGAATCTGTTTCCCAGACCTTGGCTTGTTTGAGAAACGTGGTGGTGCACTCAGAGAACCCACATTTCCTCCACACAGTTACCAGATGACTGCTTTCCCTTTAAAAACAAGGTCACTGATTTTCCCCTGTGTCAAAAACTGTTGGAAAGAACAGTCCTCCTGAGCTGTAGTTTATGCACATGAAGACTAGATTTACTGCACCAGACATTGGTACCTGTCTTGCATGAATTTTCTTCTCACAACACATCTTTGTTTGGAGTAATGAAGAAAAGACTTCTATCAGGTATAAAAATAACCTCTCACCATGATTCTGCACATCTTCTGTGCCCAGCAACACGTGTAGCAGTGACTGGTTGCCCTCATTTATTCTGTTAAATTATAAATTCATAGTGTCAGGGTGTCCTGCTTTTTAGTGGTTTGTGCATTATTAACCATTTTAGTTTTTTTTTCAAGTCTTTTGCAGAATTAAATATATCTTTATCGGGTACATACCTGACTGTCTCGAGTTACCCGACTGTCTTTGACTTTATCCTAAGACAATGGATGTCAGTGAAATCTCTGAGATTTGGGTGATGAAGGTAATCATTTTCCTTCATGCATTACAGAGGTTTAGGATGAAACAATGAAGAGGGGGCTTTGACATGGCTGGATCCTCGCTGTAAGATGCCAGCCTTCATTGTTTTTTAACTACAATTGCCTCTTATTTTAGGTTTTCCCAGATAATTTAGCCGATGCAATTTGTGTGTTTTTGACATCTCATTCCTTTCCTAAGAACCCTGCAACCACACAAAGAGGACATGCGGGCTCCTCTGTCCCTTGTCCTATGACACATCATGGGCAGCACAGGCCCAGTATCAGGGGTTCAGTGCTGAGTGGAAGAGAGCTGTGTCTCCCACTGACAGCACTGCATGCTGTACCCTCGGAGGCCACAGGGGGCGCTGTGTCACCCCACCCCATCCTCAGCAGTGCTCAGCTAACCGAGCACCACCTCCTGGGGAAATCCTGGTCAAGCACGCTGGTAACATGACCCAGACTCTCACCCGTGATCATAGAGCTCAGCCTGCTCTGTAGCTGAATGCCTTTACCACCCTTTTTTAAAAAGCGCCTCCATTGTGAAATATTCATGACATTACACAGGACTTACTGATTCAGTGTTGTCTTTGTGAAAGATGTTGTCATGTAATAGACATGAGCATCATGCCTCCCGTTTGGTGTTTCCAGTAAGGCAGTCCTGACTCTTCATGCAGAGATGACAAGCAGATGAAGGGGCTGTCATGCTGACAGGCCCGTATGGACTCAGCCCTGTCATCTCTTTCAACACTTAGCTCAGCCGCATGTTGTTTGTACTGTGTTCTGTCTTCTGTGTTTAATAAAATAATGATAACAATTACCCAAGTGGTTCATTAATTTATAGTAGATTTTAGCTCTGTTTAGATAATCATTGTTACATTGTTCTTTTGCTCTTAAAATAAATTGAAAAATGTTTTGCCTTTAAGTGCAGATTTCTTAGGAATACTTAGTAGATTTTGGCTGTACTTGTACTTACTATAACTAACATAGGCCACTTGCAGGCTGGGGCCCCTGTTATGTTTTCTGTTTAGTCCTTGTAATGTCCTTTTGCTCAGACCTATCCCCTTTTAAAAATTAATATGTGGTATATAAATATGCGAGGTCCAATCAGAGTAAAAGCTTTATCCAGCTGGAGTGCTGTCATGTCAGGAGGAGCAGCATGTGAAGTTCCAGCGCTTGGGTCAGTGTAGCGCTGTGCAGTCAGGTTAACAGCAGTCACTTCTTCTAATGCAGTGGAACTGTCTTCATGAAAACCATCACAAAGATGGAATGTGAACAATGATGTTGGTCTTGGCAGAGTGTCCCAATTCGTGGCCTGTTGTTGACAGAGTGTATTTGACTATGAGGTCTTACGAGGTTAGACATTGCTGGCTGACCACAACCCAGTTGTTGATATTTCATTCATGATTTTCACCAGGCTTGAAATTCAACAACTTAAATCACCTATGTTTTGAATCAGTTTTCACTTAAGAGGTGATTAGTGCTCCTGCAACTGTCAGTCACTCACAATCACGAAACATGTAATGAATAACCAAAATACTTTAATTTTTCCCAAGAACATGCAGAAATAAAGAGGTGTTCATTTTCAAGACCCTGGAATCAGACCTGTTGAGCACAAATAAGGCTGTGTGGTTTTGTCGGAAGAGTTTTTAACTCTGTGTTCTGTGCCTTTTCCAGATCATGCAGCAGATGAGTGACCATCGCTATGACAAACTGACGCTGCCAGATGACGTCGCGGCCAACTGTGTGTATCTGAACCTTCCTGACAAAGGACACGTGCTGCTTCACAGCTCTCCAGAACAGTATCCTGACAGCGTGAAGGTGAGGTCCGCACTCGCTTTGGTAATATAACTCGTCTTTCACTAACAAATGGGTTACCCTGCTGCATGTTATAGCTGGTATGGCATTAATTTTGATTGGGTAGGATGTTCTTAGAAAAGACCCAACCAGGTGGTGTTCTAAATCCTCCTCCTGCCAGCAGTGCAGGTGAATAAAACATTTCAATTTGTTGAGGTGCAGTGGGTCCTGGTGAAATGACTCCGATGTTTCTCACTTAGGAGTGAGTTAAGGAGAGTGAGGTTTTGTTGGAGTAGGCATGTGTGCACCAATCAGTGCTAGTACTACAGCTATACAGGAAGCAGCAGGCAGCCAGGACAAGATTGTGATTAATTTTTGATAGAATTTTATTTTTTTAGGAACAGCATTTTCATGGAAACAGTGAAGATACGATTTTTGTTTTTTTTTAGTTGAGGAATTGTGAATTATGACTTGACATAAGCACATTTTCCATAAATTGCTTCTAGAACTTCAGTGTTGTCCATTGTATATCTATATCTGTTTTTAGCATTTATGCACTTGTCTATATTAAATATAATCTGCCAGGTGATTTTTGTATTCCTTTTGCAGATTTTATAGTGTCTGCAAAAGGAATTTAACCTGTTTTGGTTTCATCTGCATGCTTCTCTAGTTTCTGACTTTGCCAGAATATGTAGTTGTGCTGTTACATAACTTTCCAAAGGTCATACTGCATTCTAAACAAATCTCACTTAAACCATTAATTTAAAATTTCAGTTCATATTAGAAACAACATTTTGTTCTATTAAATACTGTACATCTTTTTTGCTTCTAGTTTTCTCCATGTTAACATAGATATTTCTGTTCAAATGTTTTTTTTTATTATTGTACAAATATGCATTTCAGGTAATGTTTGTGAAAAAATGCTTTATTGACATTTTCCCAAACATATCCACAGAACAGGTTGTACTTGATAAAATGCATTGCTCAAGAACCATTACGTAAAATTTGTAGTGTAATTTTGTAACATAATTGAAGCAGGCCTCTAAGGAAACTATGAGAAGAATCAATCCTATTGTGTGAAAAGACAGCTTGTTCTCTAACAACATAATGAGGGTAATTTGCTATATTGTTAAATATTTTATGGAAGCAAAAATACAGATTTTGCATCTTCCTCAGGAACATTCCATTCTGTTCAGCTCCAGTCTGCACTCTGCATGCTGCAGAGGGGTCCGACACCCTGATTATGCAGCCCTTGGTCACCAGGATTTTACAGTACTAAAAACAGCTCCAGCGATTAACTTAAAACCTGGCAGATTTGATCTCACTAAAACCAGATCCAGATATGCAATTCACATGTTACAGTGACACAGCTTACAACTCCATATCACCTCCATCTTGCCAAAGCATGTCTTGAGCTGCTGCTTCTTGTGTATCACTCTGCATTCCCTTTACTCTCTGTTCACTGTGAGGCAAGAGGCTGTGGATTGTAGAAGCCTTCCAACCTGCTAGCAGTTTTTTCATTGTTTTTTTATTTTTTCTAGTTTTATTGTTTTTTTTTCTTATTTCATGAAGAATATAGTTACCGCAGCATCTGTCTTGTTTAGATTCTCAGTAAAGAAATAACATCTTACCAAAATAGAAAAAATAATTTGCCTCACAGTGAACAGAGAGTTCTGGGTTCTGGATATCTGTCTTTGTCAGCAGCGATAAATATTTTTTTTAACATTTAATGCTGAATTAATTTGTGAGAATGTTGTTATTATATAGCAAAATCATTATCAAACAAAAAGTTAGAATTATTCACAATCAGGGACTTTGACATAAAAATTATGTCACAACATCTGAGGGAAACTCACACAAACTAATCAGTGGATTACATTTAACTGAAGAAAAAAGACCAAAGGCTACTTGTGCCAAGTTCCTTGTGGTTGTGTAAGGTATTAGGTTGTGCTAATCTATAACATGGCCAACACACTATGCAACACAATTTGTCTTCCTCAGTTTAACAAAAAGAAACTGAAGAAGCAGCCAGCCCACTCCACTGTGTGGCTAGTGCCACATGGCCATGCGGAGAAGTCAGAAGCAAATCACTCTCGTTCAACCTTCTCATTGACTGAGAAGGAGGCTTCCTACAAAGCCACTGAAACACTTCACCTTGGCTGACTCATGCTGTTAGAAACCTGCATACTGGGTACTAGAAACAAATGCAAGCCATTTGCAGGAAGAGATGAGTGTGCACAGTATCTCCATGGTATTGGTGAGTGCAGTCTGACAATGGCTCTGTTTCTCAGCAGATGTAAGACAACCTTTATGCCACTGTTGTTTACCTGTTGAGGCACTATTTCGGCACCAGAGACATTTGAAGAGCTGCAAAGGGTAAATTTGTGCTCATGCAAGGAGCTCTGTTTTAGAACAAGAGGCAAAAATCTGACAGATTGACAGATGTGAGTTTGAAGTGCTCTGTGGGTGAAAAGCTTCACAGCTCTGACATTTCCAAGCAGCAGAGAGAAGATTTATAGCAGCTCTTTGAGGGGCTTTAAGGTTCTGGTTGTTCCTCTTAATGCAAAACATTCTCACCCAAAGTCCCTGGGATATTTTTAGAATTGCTGTTACACAAGAGTCCCACTTCAGTAGAGCAAAGGTAACAGTTTGCTGTAAACTCTTATCTTTTTGTTGCTGTTCTCTTTGTTGTTGTGGGAGGGCGTGCTTCCAGAATTCACAGGCAAACCAATTAAATCACTGGACAAAGGGCCTTAGAGACTGGACAGCCCTGCAGAACATATAAATTACCCATTTGTGTAATAGAATCACAGCTGGAAGTACAGGTCATAATTTAAAGAAAAAAAAACCAACAGCTATCAGGTGATTAATTTAGTAATGTTATGGTGGAGCTTTCAAAAGTGTATACTTTCACGTTTTCTTTGCAGCCAAAATGTTTAATCAAAGCAGGGATAGAGTACTCTTGACATCATAGGGACCAATTCTGTGAAGGTACAGCTAACTGCCCTATCACTACAGAGAGACAGCTCTCTGAAGAAGTATTTTGGCTTGGAAGAGTTCTAGGAAAACACTGGTTGTTTCTGGAGAAGCTCCATAAAATGACACATTAGTTTATAAAAATTTTTTTGGAATGGTGCAACTATATTTTTTATGAAGGATTAGGAAATGCGTTTTAAATTATATCTTTCTTTTAACCCATTAGGATCATTTTTACTTTTACATTTATATTGTCCTATCCTCCTTAATAATGTGCTGTCTGCATTTTTGCATCTGCATGCTGTGATTGTGTGTGGGGCTTGCTGGGCAGCAGCATGTGGACCCCAGTGACCAGATGTTCCAGACAGTCTTGCTGAGGAGATGGTACAGTAGCCCTTCTTGCAGGACTCAATACTTTGGCAACAACCCCAGCAATTTTTTATTCTCCCTCCCGTGATACCAAGAGAAACATACCATCATTTTTGTCCCCCAGCTGTGATAAATTCAGTGTTTGTTTTGCACCTAGAATTGCAATATGACCGGTTTGCCCTGGAGAAGGCCTCAGTTGTCAGTCTTATCCATTTTTAATCTTTTGTGTTTTTTCGTACAGTACATAAATAGGTGAGATGACAGTGATGTTATTTTATTGCATCTGAAAGCACATTTAAATTTTTAAATAGGTATCTTTTTATTGGATATGTTCTTAATTGTGGTTCTCTGGCTCCTGGAGTCCTATCTGAAACTGTGGTGAACCTGGGCTGCAAGGTTAGGGTTAAGCTGGACCAGGATGAGAGTTGGGGCAAATGTGAAGTAAGTGCGGGTCAGAGAAGATGTTAAGGGAGGACCTGCTGTTAGAGCAAGGATTTAGATGAGAGTCAGCCCCATACTGGTCCTTCAACAGAAAATTCAGATTAACCAGGAAACTGTATGCCAAGCTTGTGGAAATACTGATTTGTAGAGTCTCTAAGTGTTTTAAATTAACTCATTTTTTTTCCAAAAAGGGAAAAAACATTCTGAAGGTACATTGTTTTATATTTTGGAATAATTTATATTTATGAGTTTCTGTTGCTCACAATCTCCATCAGAGATTTTAGAAAAGAGTCCTGAGAGGGTTAGGAAACCTAAAAAACTTGCAAAGCTATGTTCAAGTGAAAGAGCTGCTTAGAAATGTTTATGAATGCAGTTAAATCAGAACTTTATTTAACCTTCTGATATATTGCTTAGCAAATCCAAGATGGTAATATTAACAAACCAGATTGAATCTGTTCAGACTGAACTTTTTTAAGATAGCAGCTGAAATAGCACTAGTAGGGGTATTTCCCAAACTAGTTTGATACCAAAAGTTTTACCTTTCCGTGTTGCTCCACAAATGAGGCTGGTACTCCCGAGCAGCTAACGGGACTAACAATTACGTTTTCTCCAGGTTTTTGAGAAGCTGAAGGATCACATGCTGATTCCAGTCTCCAACTGCGAGAAAGAAAAGGTTGATGGAGCCCTTACCTGCTCATCTGTGCTCATCAACAAAAGAACCGAAATCTGATCCGGACACGAGATCACCTCTGGAGGGCTGACAGTGATGTGCCAACAACGCGCAGTGCCTGAGCCTGTTCCTTACCGAGTCCTCCCTGTGTGTCTGTCCTTGTGCTGCTGATTGTTGTTCACAGTCCTTAAAACAACTGTCTAGCGAACATTACAGTGGGCTGATTGATTTTGTATTAGCTTGAATGTCCCATTTAGTAGACGTACAGTGTTTCTATGCAAAGTCTTCTGAGACTTTGAAGAAAACTAAGACCAGGTAGCAAGTGTGGACATGACTGATATAACTGATTTTTTAATTTTGTAGATTTATCATGAACTATACTTTTGAAATAATTTCATGTCATTTTTAAACTCAGAGAATATTTTAGTTTGTTATATACATTTGTCTCCCTGCAATGGACTGGTGTCTCCTCCAGGGTGTACCCTGCCAGCTGACTGTCGCTTCTGAGATAGGTTCCCCTGCAATGCTGAATTGGAAGAAGAGGCACGAAAATTACTATACATTTGTATTTTAATATGTGGCTTTTTGAATGTCAGGCAGAAAGCAGACAACCCTCAGAATGTGTCAGGAAAGACTTCTAAATTCTTGTGATTGACAGATGCTTACGTTTTTGTCTTCTGCTCTAACATTAGCCCTCTTTTTTTAGCATTTTCTCTTTCAGGACCATCAATTCTCATTTCACGGCTGTTATTAGGTGCTAATTATTATATCCAGCTGATTCCCAATACCCTTAAAGCTGCAGAGGCTTTGTGTATAAACACCTGAAGGAATTAAGTACTAAAGGTCTTTCTGCAAACTGTCAGTTTTATGTGATTGTGCTATTGATTAGTAAAGTACTGTACGTGCTTTCTGTTCGTGAATCCACAATCTGTGTGATAAACTGCTTGGAAGATGAACAGAGCTGTCCTGTGCTTCATACAGTAACTGGATATAACCGCGTAACTGGAAAAAGTTGATTTCTAAAACTCTTTATTTCAAGCATAACTGGTCACATGTGAGCTATAATTGGATGATACTTTATAATAGGATCTATATATTTTTCTAAGAAAAGCTGAGGGGAAAGAAAGTAAAGAGAGAACAGTTTAGTAAAATAGTATTGGAGGAGCTCTGCCATGGAAAATAGGATACAGAATAATTCTGCACTTTCACAGTGCTGTTCCGTTTGTAGACCCACAGGCCAAGTGGGAAATCAGCAGGAGAGATTCCCAGCTGTGCTCTGGCCTGCTTGTTCTCCTGTACAAATACCTTGCACAGCATCTCCTTTCACCAACAGTGGATACATCTCTGAATGTTCAAATCACCAGACTTACCAAGAAAAGAAGTAAGAACTTCCTACAGACATGGACAGTTTTCTTAACTTAAATAAATGGACCATCTAAACTGAAGAGTACCACTGTGCAGAATTATTATTTTATATTATCATTATTAAATTATATTTGAACGGCTGTTTATTTTTGCTCTTGAAAGAATACTTTTATATTTAGAATGAACAGATAGGGTGTATCCTGTTTTTTCCCTTTATTTCTTTTGCAACATTGTTTAATTAAAGGTTTTAAAAACACATTAAATAATTTTCTTTAGATTATTCCAGATCCTCCCCACCAATATAAACTACAATGGCTGTTCTCCTGCAGTTGCAGAAAAAGGCGATGTTGTGATGAAACGTGGAAGGAATTCTTTTGGAATACATTCGTCAGCCAGTAAACAAGCCACTTTCTTATTGCTTCACATTTTTGGTATAATTTATGACAATGATATCATACAGTCTGGCTAAGGCACAAGAGGTCCAGCCGTAAAATTGTAATTTGTGACACAAGCTGTATATTTTATGGGACATTTTTGGCATAGAGAACAAATGATACCATGGTTGCCAGGTATCTAATCTAGAACTCATACAGCGAAATACTGAGCAGATGTTGGGCGTCTGGTCACAGAGAAGGGTCGCATTGAGAGTCCCGGTGAGTCACAATACCAGTGTGAAATGTGCTGGTGAATATGATCACCAAGGACTGATTGTGGAACATATTAATGAAATATGAATCTGTCATTTTCTGCAGTGCAATGGTTTGTTTTTCTAGGTCGTTTTAAAAAGCACTTCCTTATTATTAACACTGTTTCAATGTCTGACATCAAAGCTCCTGGTTCATTTACAAGAAAGTGCATCTAATTGTGCATAGGTTAGCATGTCTCTGTAGTAAGGTAACACTAGGAATCTGAACTTAAGACATGCATTGGTCACGTGGTTTTGTGTATGTATAAGATGTGATGCAACTTATTTTGATTAAATTTTCTTCAGGGGTGTTTGTTTATAGAAGCTTTTCTGCCTATGTTTGTGCCAAAGACATCAGTGCACTGAGATTTGTTAAGTAAGAACTTCTTCATTGATCATAAATGCAGAGTATTTCTGGAAGGACAAATACCTTTTGTTAAATAAAGCTACAATATCTTAACCAATGCATTATCTGTATTTCTTTAAATGTTTTGTTTTACTTTGGTAATAATATCCAAAGGACTATGATATTTGCCAGCCTAGTATGTACTTATACACTGCATATTATAATTTTTCATCATATATTCTTTATATATGATGAGATCCTTTTTTTACAAAAGAATAGTCACCTACTATCACAAACAGCATGCTAGAAAACATTGAAATGAAAAATATGTTGAGAAAACAGGCCAAAAAACATTGTGTTTCTAGTACATTAGTCTAAAATTGTGTTGCAGTTGCTTATTGTCTTTACTAATCTTGACTTTAATTACTTGTTGATAATGTTAATAACATGGAATTCTTGTAATAATACCGATAAGATACATCATCATTACTATAACAATCTAACCATCTGTTTACTGAATAATCATGTTTAGATTCTTCAATGTGCCCATTTTAAAAAAACCTCGGTAGTTGAAACTTTAATGACACGGCGCCATCTAGAGTTTCATCTCTGTTAATACATTTCAAGTTTTATTAGGGATTCCTTCGGAAATCAGACTGCAGTGGAAGAGACGGCTGCCCCCCTTCGTAATCACGGAGGAATTGCGAGTTGGACAGAAAACAAGGAAAGGGATATTTGGATGAGTAAACCGCATTACCTTAATAATAAGGTAATAATATTAATAATAATTATTATATCTGTAAAAATATATTATATCCCAAACACTGACAGAAGGTAGCCTAAATACTTTAGATTTTAGAACATCTAATACTATGATACTAAGATAAAATAGAGAATCACTTTAAAAATAAGCAACGTTTGTAGAATATATTCATTAATTTAATATTTCAAAATGGAGAGGGTATAGAGCTTTTAATTAAATGTAATTTTGATATTTGGAAAATCGCCTTTAAATTATCCGGCTTCCATAAACACACACTCCTTACATGGTCTCTTATGTATAGACATGTTTTTTCCCCAGAATATACTATTTGGAATACTACAGAAATCAAGTGTCGAGATAAAAACTTATTTAAAAAAATTGAAACATCTAGGTAAAACAGTTGATGTTGGTGGTGAAATGTACTGTATAATTACATTTTATGGATAAATGTTTCTCTTAAGCCTGATATCGTAGTCAGAGCTATCTAGAAGAAGTACTAACAAGAGAACGAATAGTTTCCCATCAGACACCATTGAGGAGAAAAGAGGAATTCAGAGCCTCTATTAGACGAAACAGAAATTATGTATTATAGTTGTAATAAGTATTTAAGATCATTTTTGGAAGCTGGTTGCCTTATTCGGGAGTTGTTCTACTAAATCGTTAATCAAATATGCTCTGTAAAGAGCCCTGTTGTGCAGATTTAAAATTAATACAGATAATTGTGTCTTTTGTTAAACTTACATTTCTTTAGCTGATGTCCTGTAGCTTCGCACTCAAGTCCTTATCCGGGAATTTGGAGCACCGTGAAGCACAGGGGACTTTGAATATAATGTACTGAAAAAACAAACCTGGGAATTTGTAGGTCACGCGTTAATTATAACGTGCAATTATGACAGCAGACTTTGTTGTAAATGACGAGATTGGTCACTTCGGGGCTGTGGTCATTGTGTATATATAACGCGGAAAAAAGAGCGACGTAACTGCCTTTTTACAGCAGAATGGGCACAATCAGTTCAGAGAACATCAGTCAACCCTTTCTTGTTAAGATAATGAGAAAAAAGGAGTCTTCCGGCATGTCAGTCCTGGCATCAATTTTGAAATAATGACGTGTTTAACATTAATGGTTTTTTGTATACAATTACAAACCACGGCATGAACCATCCTAACTCATTGTGATGGGTTCTTTGCCAAAAAAAAAACCAACCCATAGAAATAACCATAGAATTTTGCCGAGATAATTAGTCTAAGAATTACACATATATTTTTGTTTTAAACTTTTAAACACTAATTTATTCATAGCGGATGGGTTTAAAAATGTGAATAATCCATGAAAGAAAATAATATTAATAAATAATAGCATGTGCACCTGACTGACATTGAAATCTGTACCTGTTGCACAACGCTGTCTTCAGTGTAATTTTCAGTTCTTCTCTCTAAATTCTTGCGCTGAATATATTTAAAATTGTGAAGGCTTACCACTGTTTCACAAGGTGTGGTGTAAAATGTTTGACATCACTGGGCTCCCGACACTGCGGCATAAAATTGCTTCCTGTGGGAATACTTTCTTGAAACTGCTAGAAAAAAATTCAGATTTAATCACCACTTCCATGTATAAATACCTATGACGCGTATGAAGAGCATAGTAATAGTAAAACTCAGTTACGTTGACTATCTTAGCAGTAAAACCCAGTTATAAAAATAAAACTGGCAAATACGTTGTAACTTCTAATTGAGATGGGGGGCACAGTACATGAATACAGTTTGCTAACATGTGTAATGAAAGATCGGGGTCCCTGCAAACTGTCCACTCATTTATAGAGTGAACGGTTTACTCAGAAAACGTGATAACTCGGTTTACTTATAAATCAGTGAATTTAGATAATGCATTTGATAAGTTTGAAAAGCACCTGGCTTGGTGCTTTAAATTGCTTTCATCGCTTATTCTTTGTCTGCTGTATTTTACTAGTTGCACTATTCTAATTAGCTGAGAGCTGTCGCTGTCGCGTCGTTTTCCATCATTGTCCGAAAGCAGGAAGTCTACCGGCACACTTCTCTGTGGCAAACCCGCAGAGCACTATCTTCATTCTTTTATCGGGGATTAAACACACTGGTGTGCAGTAAAATATAAGATACTTACGGTTTATTCGACAGCGAAGATAAGCTACAAGCAAAAGACTCAAAAGCATTTTTGTTTCCGCGTCCGCTCGGATCGTGGTATCGACAAAAGTCAGCGCCACCGAGAGAAGTGAACTGTTATGGTGTATGAAATTTAAGAGCACCCCGGAAGACGTGCTTGAATATCACAATGGATGTCCCACACCTAACTGAAGATGAAATGGCTGAGATAAAAAAGGAAGTAAGTGTTTAAGGTCGTTTTAGAAACCTGTTAAAAGTATACAGTAGATTAAAGTGAAGACCTGCGCGTATATACAGACAAACAAATATGTAGTTTACTGACGTGTTTTTGGTTGGCGCTTTAAAAGTTAAAACATGTTTTTGAAAATGGTGCTAGAGGAGGTTTCGTGGCTGAGGTAGATAACCCTGCAGGTGGGTCCCGGGGGAGCACGAACCTCGTGGCGTGGAAAGTCTTCCCGCTGCTCCGGAGAGCACGAGCCGCGTGGGCGTGCCTGCGCATTGTCGCTAATGGCTCGCCGACACGGTGACCTTTCCTGTCGTCATTGTTTAACACAGCCAAGTGTGTGTATACCAGGCTCGGAACACATTTCACTTTTGTGCAAACTTCCTTTTCGGCCGTTTATTCCACTTTGACGTCGTGTAAACTAGTGATAACAATGAAAGAATCGACAGGAACATACTTGCATCAAACACAGCTGGTCAGCAGGAGGATCCTCGCTCATATCTGTTCATATTAACACATTTGAAAGATTCCCCAAAGCGGACTTTGCTGCAGTATTTACCAAGATTTTATAGGACTTGGGTTTCTGAGATGACATAAAGCCCGTCTTTAGCTAAGTGCGCGTTTGTATTGCATGACTGCTGAAGCAGACGAAGGTAACACCAGAGCATGTACTGAAACTGCAACTATGACATTCTGCCTCTACCAGTATGCTCGAAAGACCTAAGGTTTATAAGCAAGTTTGAAATAAAAAACAAACAAATATTTGACTGAAAACCGGTTTGGACAACATTCTGTGTTAAAACACAAACCTGCAAACAAGAACAGACCTGGTGAGGAAGAGCTTTATTATGGAACGTTTGATAAGAATAGAATAGATTTCTAAAATATTTTCACGTCGTCCAGCTCCTGCTCCTTAGTAAAGTTTTGGTCTCTCGGTCCTTCCCAGAAGATCACGTAGCTTCTGCCTCAGATACTATCTGAATCAGTGACTATAGTTACCCTGTCGCGTGACAATACCTGTTACACGTCTCTTTAAACTGCAGCATGACTTTTATAGCTTTCCTGACGTTTAACATGCACTAAGGAAAACTGTAGTCACCAGTTTCTAGAAAGCACGTCCTGCTTCCTCTTACAGTAATAACTGCCAACTCTTTAAGGCCTAAAGTGCTGTGTGAGTGTTAATATCGAACTCCATGAGGAGAAGCAAGACTGATCTTGCCTGACTGCGCCCTACATGTGGATCGATTCTGTGTGTTTTGTCAGGCTCTGGAGAGGCTACGGCCGTACCTGTGTGATAAAATCATAGCCGACAGGCACTTTGACTACCTGCGTTCCAAGAAGATCCTGACCCGGGAAGACACAGAGGAGATCAGCTGCAGGACCACCCACCGGAAGAAGACAGGGAAGCTCCTGGACTACCTGGCCGAAAATCCCAGAGGGCTGGACGCCCTGGTGGAGTCCATCCAGCTGGGCCGGTCCATGAACTTCATCATCGCCAAAATCACAGACGAGGTCCAGAAAGTGAAAAATGAAAAAATTGAATCCATTAAAGGTACTTTTAGCCTTTTCAGGCAAATTGAACTGCGAGACTTTGATAATATCGCGGCACCCTGGGTGGCGGGGACTGTCGTACGCACCTAGAGAGAGCAGAAGAAACGGGAAGGGGAGGGAATTAAAAGTATTTGGCAAATCCATGTAACCTCTGTTCCCTTCCACTTGTTCTTTGTCAGTTCTCTCTGAAATGGGGCGCGGGCATCTGATGCTTGTGCTTTGCTTTGCAGCGGGAGCCTCCTGCAGCACTTGTGTGCCGAAGTGTGTGGGGGCGACGAACGACCTCTCCCGGACCCTCTCCAACGACTCCAACTTCGAGAAGGGCCACGACTCCACGCTGCTGTACCACCCTGAGGGGGAGTGGAGCTCCAGCTCCTCCGCACTGGGGTCCATGAATCTGCCCTGTGGGCTGGACAAGGACGTCCCGCTCAGCAGCACTGTTTCCGGGTCCTCCTCGGCAGCTCTGCCCAAGCCCGGCGACCCTGGGGCGCCCCCGCTGCCCGACGAGTTGCAGGCGGAGCCAGAAGGGGCGTGTGGGAGCACCAGCAGCACTGATGCTCTCTTCCAGCCCCTCCGCTCACGCTCTCTGTCGCCGCCCTGATGGTGTGGTGCTGGGACTGCAACTTGTCTTGCTTTGTGAGGAGTCAGCAAGGGCATGTGCACTCGTCTTCAGGCATTCAGGACTTAAAGCTGGTTAGTATGCCTGTGATCTACAGACCCTCAAGGAACTTGCCTGCCTTCCTCACAGCTGTGTTTTCCATCACTGCTTGTTCCAAGGACATCTTCCCTCTTCCCAGGGATTTGTGATTTTGCATCTTTAGGTGCTGCTTATCAGTGTTCACACAGTGAAAACCTCCGCAAAGTGTTTGTCTCATTGCTCTCACACCTCTTTCGCTGCTCTCGGGTTGAAATAATCTGCAGTCCACTTGTGCAGAGATCTTTGCTGCAGAGTCCAGTAATTTACGATGGAAAGGGCTAAAAAATCTACAAAGGTCCTAACAGCCTGTCTTATCTGATTTTTGTACATGACTGTTAAAATCTGAATGGTTACAAGTGCAAGGAAAATATTCAGCCCATGATACAGTTCTTAGAAACTTTAACAATAGTAGAACTTCCTTAAACTGCCTTTGGAAATATCAGCATCTGCACAGCTTGTTAGTTGTTCTCTTCAGGTGTGCTGCTTTAATATTTTCAAAGAAGAAAGGGACCCCTATTTCCCTAATACCTGGGGACTCTTGATTTCATACCTGTAGTGTCCACAGCAGTTTGTGAGTCAGCTGGGTTTTGACTTTGGATTTGAGCTGTGTGTGCCTCGGGGAAGGTTTCCTGATTGGTGCTGTAGAAACCTGTTCTGCTCAGACAGTATGAGATATAATCTCACTCTGGCAGGAACATCCCTGCTGGAACACTTGAGCTTTCTTAAAAATGTAAAAAATATGAATCACTGGGATGTTAGAGAAGTGCGGAAACCAGCTACATGCACAGGCACAGAGCTGAAATAAACTTGTGCCTACATGTTTGACATACAGACTGTAACAAATACTTCCATATTTTAGCATTCAGTAAATGCAAAAAAAAACTGAGAATAACTTTAACTGTCGATGCAATTAAAAGCTATGTAGCCTACCGTTTTTTTATACTGAAATGAATTGATACAGTGTTGGACTGATCATTCACAATATGTACTGTCATTGTGACACTTGTGCAGTGATAAGTTACTGGAAGAGAGAAGTGACCAGTAATTTTACTCATAAGAAAGCTATGGCAAACAGGAAAGGGGTGGAAGTTTTCTAATATATCTTTACTAAAAAAGAAAATTTTATAGAGAAATGCTGCGGTTTTGTTATTTTAGATCTTAAGTAAATTTGAACTATATCTCAAAGCAGTGTTTCTCTTAATCACTGTCTAGAACACAGGCGATTCGTCCTGTGCTCCTCCAATAAAATATTTGGGATAACATTCTAGAGAGGCCTTAACTGTCATTCAGACACATTTAGTATTAAACTTTTGCATATATTTTCTACATATATCTAACAATCTTGTAGTAAAGATCTTGTGATCATGAACCAGTTTATTATCCTTTTATGATAGACAATTATGTAGTCTTAATTGCCTAAGTTCTTGGTTTCTTTTACACTTGCAGTCCATATTATTGTCCTTTTGATCTTCACTAAGACTTTTGACTGACTACTTAAAATATTACCTACACTACTTTAAAAACAAAATGACGCACATTGAAAATATTGTTTTTCAGGAAATCTGAGATTTCTTCTTTTTATATTTTCATATAAAATTAGAAAATGCTAAAAATATTCCGTTGGTTCTTGCTATTACACATGGGTCTTCATCCCTGGTCCTAGAGAGCCCCAGTTCAGTTAGTCTTAGATCGTCTCTTTCTGAAGATTGGGAACATCTGTGAGGTATGGATCATTTAGGCGTTTTATCTGTTTAATTAAGAGAACTCTGGCTTTGAGAACTGAAAGTACTTAGATTGACGTTGAGTGTTTGTGTGTATGTAACGTAAACTATCTGTGTGGAAACAGATACAACTCAAGAAAATATTTGATCACTCTCCATTTATCCCAGTTTCTGACAGCTGTTCCTGTTTTCCATTGTATTATAAACAAAACCTGTAAGTGTGCTCTGCATTGCCCCGAGTATAGAACTGAAATTCTCCTACAGTATGTTCAAGGTGTGTGTTTCTGCACCACAATAATTCTAGGAGTCATTATACTCTGTGGTTACCTCACCCTGATCTGAGCTGCTGACAGCTTGCTCCCAGTTTAGATAATGAACTGAGTAATAAATATTCCCAAAACTGTGTTTTGCTTTAGATAGGGAATTTCCAAGTTCAGACTTGGCTTTGTGATTGTGGGGATAATGTTTCAGTTTTTAACCTTCTAAACCTGTTATTGTGATTGCAAGTTGTTAGGAGAATGTGGGTGTTACTCTCCCTTTTCATATATACAGAAATTTACAATGAGATATTATGATTTTTTTTCATTTTTTCTGTTTTATTCTGTTATATCACATTTCCAACAAAATAGTATAACCAAATTTACTATACTGCAGATATGACACTTTTTGTCAATCTGAAAGCATTATTGCCACTTTCATAAAACAATTTTAGAAAGAAAATGAACTTTTCCTGGAACTTCATTGGACACCGTACAAATTGGTTAAACTGCTATTAGGAAGACCTGCTGCACATACAGGGTATGGCCTTGATCCTGTGATTCTGGGATAGACTCTGTGTTGTCATGACCTTCACCAGGAATGAGCATTAGATATTAGATGGATATTATTGCAGGCTCTTCTTATAGTTTGAGACACTTTCTTTTGGACTTTGTTATACTCCTGTGTGTTCTGATTGCTCAGTTGGTGAGGTCTCCCATACAGCAATGTGACCAGAATTTGTCTGGATTTTGTTGTTAGAAAAAAAGAAAATGTCATGGATTCCAGTGGATGACTGTTGCAGTTAATATAAAATGTTAATTAAATTGATAATGAAAAAACCAAGTGGGTTTTGTGGAAAATTAGAACTATATACCATTTTATAGTGCAGATTTTTTATTTCAGTCCGAACGTAATTCATCAGAACATAACAAAGCAGGGGAGGTCATTCAGCCCAGCCAGCCCGTTTGGTAATTAGTTGCTTGACCCAAGGATCTCAGGATACAGCTGTTTCTTGGAAGAAAACTGGGTATCAGCTTCAACAGCATGGCTGGTAGTTTGTCCTATACTCTCACGGCCTTTAGTTGTACACAAGTGCTCCCTGTTCTCGGTTTTAAATGCATTTTCGCGTTTTTCAATTCAAAACTGAAACAATGTCTTCGGGTATGAGTCGCCAAAGCCCTCTGCCTGCTGAAGGGAGTACATCTCTGCCTGAATTACAGTGCAGACCCTGTGGCAAACAGCTTCATGACAAGAGCTCCTGGAGCGAGACTGGCGACAGATTTACTTAGTAGCACACCTAGAAATATGGAAATATGTGTGCCTATAAAACACTTGCAAAGTACCCCTTTTCTTTTTCCATGCTTGGATAAAGTTCAAATCGTGTATCCATCGCACACCTCCTCAAAAGGCTGTTTGTCCCTACGCGCGCACCATCCCGAAGATCCGGCCGCATGTGGACGACTTCCTGTTTTCGTTCCGCATCACGCTACTGTAATGAAAGATGGGGCTGTGTGGGTGCAGAACAGCTGAGCTATAAAATTCAGTCTTTGTCTGCGTCGTTTTCAGGATGACCGAGAAGAGTCAAGACCCGCTCAGTTTCTTTGCAGCTTACGGCAGCAGCTCGGAGTCCGACAGCGAATCCGATTGTGAACAGGGAGCCCAGGCTGCCGGCCGGACACGCCAGCGAAGTGCGCCTCAGCAGGGGGATACACGAGCTGTCGGCGGGGCGGTGGCTTTGCCCAAACCTGATGATCTATTTAGATCCATTTCTAAGCCGTCGTTCCTGTACAATCCGCTCAATAAGCAAATCGACTGGGAAAGCCGTACCGTGAAAGCACCGGAAGAAGTAAGTCCGCAAACGAGTGACCAGCTGTTGATCCATTTTTACAACTCGGGGTTTCCGGTAGTGTTGTCCATCGGATTTCCCCATTGATAATAAATCACATCAGGCGTTTACAACCAGTCACCGTGGGGAATATTAATGCTTCACATCAAAAGCATGGTCTTTTTATTATTGTAGAAAGAAGAAAATAACAATCAAGGACATATACATGCAGATACTGCACCATAACAATACAAAGACAACATCAAATGAATGAAGCAACATACCGGTTGGAATATTATCTTAATCAAGAAGATTACCTTAGGTATCGCATAGGATTTTTAAACCAGTTTTCTAAGGGCGTTTTTATATACTCTTAAAGAATCTGAGTTCAGCTTAAATGAATCCGTAAATTATCTGAAGCACGTAGAGGTTTTACACACTCGACATTTATGTGAAATTTTGCCAAAATTAAAATAACATTTTACGAACGTCTTTATTTTTATTCAGAACACCAAGAACAATGTCCTTAAATGTTAATTTATACAATTATTACTCTTATTTAACCAGAACAGATAGTGCCCAAAAGCTGTTACGATGACATGAGAAAAAACGTGTTCAGTTTTTTCAATATCGGATTCACAAAATGTACAGGTGTTACAATGAAAATTAAAAATAATAATAAAAAGCGTTGTATGAAGAGCTTGCTGTATGAATCCATTCCATTGTGCAGTTATATATTAGCGATCACCTGTGCAGTTTTTACAGAACTGCCATTTCCCACGGTAACTGTTCTGCATCACTCGGAAGCCAAACGCTGAATGTTAAACAGGACAAGAGACGTATTAACGACGTCTCAAGTCAGCAAGTATTTAAAATATTATGAATAAAGTTCGTCAAGTTTGTTTCTCTGTGAGTGTTACTTTCACTAAGGCGTTGTTTATAGTGTGGAAACCTGCCCAAACAAACAAAAAATCTTAGTTGAACTATTTAAAAAATAGTTTGTTCTTGTTTTCAAATCTCCCACTCCTCTTCCTTTTATCACAGCCAGCAAAGGAATTTAAACCGTGGAAGACCAACGCCGTCCCTCCACCGCAGTCTTATGCCACGCAGGAGAAGAGCGCCCCCCCTGGCCGGGACATGGCAGTAAAATGGTCCAATATGTATGAGGACAACGGGGACGACGCCCCCCAGCCGGCGGGAGCGCGCGTGCACTTCTTGCCCGAAGGCGAGGAGCTGACCGATTCCGGTGAGTAACAGCGACGCTCTCCAGTTTGCAATGGGAATTTGCTCAGCTCGTGGTCATGCGATTGGATGAAATATGATTCTACAGAAGTAACGTCGTACCAAAAGATCTGGGTAAAAGTTGTAAGGCTCTTAATAAAAATGCTCTATATGCAGAACCAATCTCCTGTTCTGTTGTGGAGTCATCTAGTTTAGTCGCTGTGTACATTCAGAGTGCTTGTCCTTTTCAGATCGTCTCTTAAGTGTGTGCAGCTTTCAGGGGACATAAGAAAGGGTATAAATTAGAGCACTAAAAGAACATGTGGCTCATCCAGCCTGTTCGATAATTCAAGACGGTTACATATTAAGCAAAACTATTGCAGTGGTGAGTTTTCAAGAACACAGTGTTGCCTTATGCCACGGATTTGGTTTGTTTTGAGCCGCTAAGAGGACATTATGATCTCCTTATTAAAGGTGCAGTTGGAGACTGGGCATTCTCATCCGCTCCACTGCAGGGTTTGCAGGATGAGTTGCAGAGGAGAGTTCAAGTGTTTATGTCAAAGGGGTTGTGGGCAGATGTCGGTTGTTAGATCAATAAGTACCAATATTGACGCTGCAGCTCCCTGTCAATACAGATGAGGACAAGCACAGTCCGTCTGCTAAAAAGCGGAAGGTGGAGAGCTTCCAGCAGAAGGAGAAGAGGAAGCGTGAGGTGGGACAGGCCAGCTCGGAGAAGAGCTTTGTGGAGGAGGAGAAGAGGATTCTCCGGCAGAGCTTCCAGTCATAGTGCCTTTGTCCACGGGATTGCGGGACAGGGGACTGTCCCTGTGCTGCAGGATACAGGATGGGGGACTGTCCCTGTTTCTGTGGGATACAGGATGGGGGACTGTCCCTGTGCTGGAGCCGAACTACTGCTCTCTAGGTTCTTAGGATTTACTCACTGGCACTGTGGTGATGCAGTTAACATAAGGAAATCTGCTTTCTGCTTTTGTGGACATTGTTTTGAGAAGTAAGAAGTAAAAAAGTAAAGACACGTGTGATGTCTTTTATAATTTTTATGTGTAATAAACAGGTTGGTAACTGTGTGTGTAGAACATTTATTGATCATAATTGTAATTTGAATCCAGGATTAGTTTGTGCACAGTCATGTACTGTGTTGTATAAATCGCTGGGTCTTGGGCAGATCCCCCTGTAGCCAGGCACCCACAAGCAAGGATCACCTGAGTGCACACAGCAGGTTAACAGAGAGTATTTGTGCGTGGGTGTAATTGTAATAGCACATTTCCTTTGAAGCATCACTTGCAAAATGTGAGAGGTAAATTCAGTTCATTATGGAAATCCAAGTTGTATTAATTTCATGGCTTTGCATTTTTTTTAAAAAAGGCAGTTAAAAATGAGATTCAATAGATATGGATGTTAACCACTGTATGTATACACATTTGAATAATTTTTAACGATGTCAGATCTGTTGTTTGTGGAAATTCCATTAGGTGGCGATATTGGTTAGGGTTCTCAATCTGAAACTACACAGTCCTAGTAATCATTTTCAAATTAGTGATGAAATAAAAATAAACATAAAGAGTGTACCTTTCCTGCAGCTGGAAAACATAAAAAATGTTAAGATTGGTGGGAAATGTTGAACTTTTTCCTAAAGCAAAGCCTGAATGTTTTACATGGTTCTGTAAGAACATAAGGAAGATTTCAAAGTAAGTAATTCATAAAATAATTAATATTATTTGCAGTCTATTAAACTGTTTTGACCACATTTGTTTCGCAGACAGGATATGGGAAATTCCTGTCTCGTAAATTCCCAAACATATGTTGTCTCCACTAAATTTGGGGCTGCTTATCTGATCAGATTGCCTCAGCTGTGAAGCCAATGTCAATAGATCTTAAACCCCTCTAGCAAATTAAATAACAATGGGTGCCAGAGTGGCTCTACCTACTTAGGATAAGGAACTGTGGAAAAAATAGCCTCCAAATGCATACATATGTCATAGCAAAAGTAAATAAATATTCTCAATATTACACACTAGTTTCTCTAAATACATTACCTCCTTCTTTCTCTGAGTGGAGACAAATTTCCTAACCTTCATGTTTTCTACTCATCCACTTGTTTTCTAAGCTTTCGTCCAATCCAGGATTGAGAAGGAGCTGAAACCTATCCTGACAAGCAACACCCTGAACAGGACCCCAGTCCATCACAGTGCACAGACACACACACGTGCACTCATAACAGGGCCAATTTCCCAGAAATCAATTAACTCATCAGTATGTGTTTGGATGGAGGAAGTATAAATAGCAGAATTTCTATGCTTTTGCACACAAATCTGACACTTGTAACACTTCTTTCTGAGATGAACACAGTAAATCCTGATTATTTTATAAATTACATTTACAGTACAATTAAAATAGTACAATAATTGAGATGGTGTTGGAGGCTCAAAGGTTTCAGAAAGCTATTTGGAAAACAGTTTAAATATATTCCATTCTCTAGAGTCTGTCTCATCATATCCCTCACCTATATACAAAAATCTGTCACTAGAATTAGTTATATTCTCAAATCAATTTTCCCGTACATATAAATGCACGACATTTAGACTTTTGTTTGTAGGGAATATTTATCACTATTATCTTAACAGAGTTTAACTGAAATGTTCTGAAGTATTTCTGTTTGCAAAATACTCTGACATAATCAACTGCAATTAGCTCAGCCCATTTGAAAACTGTTTTCAGAGATCAAGTTCCATAACAGACATCAGATAACAACAGTGCTGTTCATGCAGAAAGGTTTAGTTTTTTTCCAGTCCAGTAGAGAGGAACGTCTAATGTGTGATGATTCAGGGGTGACAGATGACTGTTGTCAATGTTCACATGTCTGTAAAGGCCAAGAGCTGTTCATTCAGTGAGTGACCTGGCAGAGTGGGGAGGCTCTGAACTGTCTTACTGTTACAGGAACTGAGTGAAAATTGACTGTAGGTGTAGTTGAACTGATACAGTGTCATGATGGAAGGGTTTGCCTCCATAATTCCGCAGTGCTGTATTGGGTATTCACTGAGTTAGCTGAGTGTGTCGGAACATCCCTTGGCTGTTCTAGGCTGTTTTTGCATGCATGTTAAGGAAGATTATATAAGCTTGTCCCTACACCATGCCACACAGCATAATCTTCAGCTTCTCCTTCCAGCAGCCTGACATCTTGCAATGCCACTGCCTTTTCTCACTCCTCACTTATCAGTCCTGTGGCTGCTTTTCAACAAAACTTCCCATTTGCTTAATTAAACCAACTTCAATTTAACGTTGCTTTTGTGTAGTAACTTCTGTCCCTGCTCTTTAAATATTTTACTATATTTTATATATATGGTTTAATTTCACAATACTGTATGTCTAGATTTACTGTAAATTTAAGTATGTTTTCAAAAATTATGGCTGAAAAGATCTGACGCTGTTATGCATTTAAAAAAATGAGTCTTTCATACCTGCAGACCTGATTTTCCATATGCTGTTAAAAGAGGTTAGATGGCAGCAGTACATGAAAGTTACAGAATGATTCTTAGCTGTAACTGTTTCCTAATCAAAGGAATTCCTATCATATCTGTCATCATCATTCCAACTGGAATACAGGTAAATATGCATTTGATAAAATTCCTCTATGTGGTATCTGCCTGGCCATGTCTGAAATGCTTAACTGAACCAGCATAAGAACAGAAACTGATTTTTATCTGAATTTATGCACAGGTAAATGTAGTGTAGTCTTTCTCCCTGGATCGGCTTTCCAAATGGTGCCTGCATGTGGTTTAATCTACATACAGATGCTAGATGTACTGATAGTATTTATTTAAAAAAAAAACACCATAAAACTGGCAAAAGAAAAATTTCAGTACACGGAAATAACAAACATAAATGTTACTTGATGTTGGTTTTCAAAATTAGATGAAAATATTTTTCAGAAACCTTTAGAGTATTGAAATTCCTTACTTGCTGAGTATAGTACATATGTATATTACAATTTAAAATTTAGATTTTAAAATTAAAATGTACAAATGTATTGTTTTAAATAGAAATTACATCTGGGTTAGTATTAGAATACTTGTACTTTATATATGAATGTATTAGAAATGTCATTCTGGGCTATTTTTAAAATGCTTTTTGTCTTAAAAGTGTGTCCAGTGAAGGATGCTAACACACTGAAGCAGGATTTGCAGAAAGAGACTTCAGTTTCAAGTATGTGTTATCTGTTAGTGTGAGGAAACTATTCCTTAACAAAAGCTGAGGTCTGGAGTGTCTACTGGCCTTTCTTTAGAAGCACAAGGTGCTGTTACACGTCAGGCACGAGTGCGGTCACTGGGGACACTACTGCTGAGGGTCCCTGTCCACTCTTCACCTGCAGACAGCTCCCTAATGTGAAGGGGGATGTTTTTTACAAGCCAACAGCTGGAATTGTTACTGTGTGAAACAGATGTTACAAACATTTAAACAATTCTGGAAGAATTTCCAAAACTAACCCTGTCCCACTAAAAACTGAGATGTTTAAGAACCGACTGTCACAAAAGTATTAGTACCTTCTCAGCACCATCTCATATGTTTTTAAATCAAGACATGATTACCCAGGGCATGATGAGTGCATAGGAAATATAAGCAAGGCTTATATAGATACTGGTCTGACTTTACAAATTTTGCTGATAAAAAAATCCAAAAGAAGTCTAAATATACTAATGTTCTATTACAGATTGTATTTTTATTTTAGATTACATTTCCATTTTACACATTCATAGTCTACTTTAAAGAAAAATGCTCACGTCTCTTTTTTTTAAAAAAAACAGACACTTGTGTGATTTGTGTTGGAACCACGAGACCATGTGAGCAAAGCAAATGAACTCAGAAGTCAACTGCTGAGACACAGAGTCTGATCTCTCCAGTGATAAGCTCGTCTGTCTTGGCTCCAGGTAAAACAAACTGTCCTGGAGTAGAACAGAAGCCTGAGCCCTTGCCTTCAGCCTAATGGCTGTAATATGGATCCGCTTCAGGCTTTGGGAGCTAAAGTGGCTGGAGCAGTTGAGCCACTGGGCAGAAGACTCCAGACAGAATCAGACCCTGGAGAGCAGCGTTTGTCTCGGTGGGCTTAATGGAGGCATTCTTCCCTGCTCCCTGTGGCCCATCGCCCATCTCTGATAAGTGCAGAGAGTGTTTTTGGTGGGGGTGAGCCTTTTCAGGTAGCATACCAGACAAAGATCTACAGTACTTTACTTAAGGATCACATAACGGGGAAAAAAAATAATTCCTCATTTTTAGAACACAATAGCACTGTCTGAGAGAGATATAGCAGAGATGTGCAGGGAACGCTAGTGACGTGACAAAGAAAGGGCTTTACAGATGCTTCGTTGTAGATCTAGCTATTGCTGCGTTAGCTTTCTTGGCTTTCTTCCAGTCAAGCCTGAAGAATACTACTGTGGCATCCTTCCCAGGGTAGGGGTGCACTGACAGTGAGACGGCCGCTAGTGACCTGTGTGGAGACGGACAAAGGGATTCTATGGCAGTTCAATAATTGAGTGTTAATTGTGTGGATTGGAGATTTTGCTTAGTATGAAAATTGTTTGTTTGCTACAGTGGGCTGGACCCTGGTGAGAAGAAGGTGGTCGTGGCCACAAGAAAGAATGGCTTTCTTGTTGCACTTGTTTGCATGTTGTGGTTTGTTATCAGGTTAAATAAAGTCTACAGAGTTTAGTCGGGGTTTTAGTCAGAGTAGCTTTTGTTTGATTAAAGTCAGGAGTTCTCCACGACAGCAGGTCCCCATAGTCGCTATTCCAAAAGTAGACATTTTCCATGTTTTTTTTTATTTAAAAAAATTGCTGACTCATTGAGTGAAGTCAGCACTGCAACATTTTCCAGTTTCGTCTTGCTGTTTAATTTTAAATATGATTAAGCAACCTTTGAATTTCGGGACATTTTAATAAAACTTTTAATAAACCTTGGCAATGATTAATGTTTTAGCATTTGCACTGAGATATTATTGAACTTTAGTTTTAGGAATGGAGGAAACGTTAAAATAATTATTTAAAAAGAAAATCTGTTCTGCATGTTTGGTTCCAGAAATGATGAATGAAAGTCTGTTCCTTTAGTTGTTCCCGAGACTATGAAAAATGGAATTTGTTAAGACTAATACGTTGGTGGATTTTATCAGGACATGATTTGGAATGTATTTCACTAGGCAACACTGAAGGAATTAACTCTAAAAAAAAGAACAAATGACCCTTAGAGAACAACAAAAGACATCAGGCTGCATTAATTAAAAAAAAACAATATAAAGTTATGAAAATGTGTTTCAAAACTCCATTGCAGCTCACTTGTGTTCAAGTTTTAAAAATACTTGGGAATAGACCTTCACTCTTTTGAAAACAAGCCTGACTTGAGAAAATAAGGAGAGATATATAGGAGCCCGAAAGTTTTCTCCAGTGTGTGTTTTGGGGGGAGTGTGGTATGGACACGAGTGCAAGGCTGGTGAAAAGGCTCCTGGCTCTCAGAGGTCAGCGAACAATAGGACCCAGCTGAGGGCAAAGGCCAAAGGCTGAACACCATGGGCTGTTTGAATAGGAGCCAGGAAAGCAGATGTTATTCCTTCAGCTTCACAAAGAAGGAAGCAAATGGCGAGTGTTGTGAAAACCTGCTCCCTCTTACATCAGCCTTACAGAGCCCCTTGTGCTGAGGAACATCACTTACAAAGCAGTGCAGTTATGGACAGGATTCAGGCAGAACAGCATGTTCCTGGTTTTGGCACACTGAGTTGCGCATGGCTCCACATAAAACATATAGTAAGTTCTCAAGATATATTCACATTTCAGTGAATCTGCCACCACAGTGATAAATAAAAGGTACTGAGAGATGCCTGTCATCCCATGATATAGTCAGAGGACTATAAGACCCCCAAGACAAGCTAATTTCTTATTGCTGACCAGATGGACACTGGAGCAAATGTTAGTATTACATTGTCACTTCTGTTTTTTTGGGGGTCTGTGCTGCACAATAGGCTTTATTTAAACAGCTGGAGAAGGAAGGTTGCTGGTTTGACTTGGTCTGTGGAACAACTGTAACAGCTGCACAAGCCCTGAGTGAAAAGGCATGAATTCACCACTGGCAGAAGAAGACGTGTGTGTACAGGCTGACAGAGTGTTCTCACTTGGACGCAGGTCTGCCCAGGATGTGTTCTGGGGCCTGACCTGCGGGATGAGGCAGCTCTGCTGCAGCACCAGCAGGACGAATGGAAAAGACCAAGCTGTGTGCGTGAGGCTGTGTGCTCTCCTTGCTTTTCAAGGCCTGCAGGCTTTGACCTGTAAATAGATGCCCAGACGGAGACTAATCTGCCACCCAGGCATGCACAGGCGTCATGTCTACATGGCTCCAGAGAAATAACTGATGCTTATCTATTTCTTTTTTTGAAGCACATGTGATAATCCATTCAATCAGTACAGTCATTGTACCCATTCTGCAATTCTTAATGAGCACAAAACACTGAGGTGCAATGCAGGAGCAGGTCTGGCGAAGAGAGCTGGGTCCACAGCAGCCAGTTGCTGCATGTAGAAGGGAAGGAGGAGAAGCTCAAGCTGGGAAGTGTAAACAGTTTGGTTAATCAGCCCTGTTGATTCCACCAGCCACCTCATGCAACACTCAGACAGCTCTTGAGCAGAGAAAGGTCAGCTATAAAAAATATCAGCTTCACCTGTTAATTACTGATAATAACATTCCTTGGCTTTGTGTAATCCTTAATCCTAAAAGGAAAACAAGTAAACATGAATGTATATAACAATCAGTTTTTTCTAAGAACATGATGAATGAAAGGTTACATAAAAAATCTCATCCAGCCATTTGAATGAAGTAAGTGTATCAGCTTCGACAAGTCAGCTAAGTAGCAACGTTTTTTATGTAATATGGTGAATAAAATTGTATACAATATTCTAAAGCAATTTCTTACTGCTACATTGTCCTATTTTGTTATAACATGGATGGATTTTTATAACTATATATCCTAATTTTCTGCTTTTTATTGCCTAAACCTCAAGTTTACACATGAGGTGTTGACATAGACATCTAAATATTTTTACAGGTAGCTTCATTAAGCTTGGGGCTTTCCTTAACATCTCTGTAGCTTAAGTTTCTCCTGCCTGCATGTAACACTCTACACACGTGCTGCTAGTTAAATGGCATCTACCATCTTGAATTCTGTTTAAACTCTTTTGAATTTTCTTTGCCACTTCTTACCGTGTTCACTAATCATGACGAACCAGACTCACTCTTACTAACAAC